TCTTTGTCCCTCTGGGTTCCCACCCCTCCTTCTCAATGGAAAAACACCAGGTTAAAGATGGATTCCAGTTTAGGTGACATGATCACATATCATTGTAAGACCCCAAGCCTTCATTCCTCCCAGCCTGAGGCACAAGAAGGCCTGCCTGCAAACAGAGCCATTCGCAGTCAATTGTCCTGGTTGATGGGAGCCATCAAGATGTCAAACCACCATTAATGGCCCACACTTTGCATAATTACAATAGCCCCTCAGAGTTATAGTTCATATTTCTAGTTTCAGATACTAGAGTGATACATTTATACAAATAGGGTGACTGCACTCAGAAGATTATAAACTGTGTCATTATACCTTACAAGAGACCTTTTGCATGAAGCATATTTTAGTTACATTATATTCACACTCATCAGCATACTTTCATAAAAACATATAGAGTGCAACGTCACAGCAGGAAAATGGAAAATGCCAGCCACAGGGGATTTCTCTGGCAGATAAGATTTCCCGATAAAGAGACTGCACTACAGTACTTGTATGAGGTGAATTGAAAAATACTATTTTTGTTTTGTAATCACTGTGCACTTTCTATTCTTGTTGTGATAGAAATCAATATATATGAAAACGTAGAATAGCATCCAAAAACATTTAACAAATTTCAATTGGTATTCTATTATTTAACAATGTGATCATTGAGATTAATTTTAATACACACCATTATGATTTTCAGTTAACTGCAATTAATCAACTACACTACTATTATCTTCCAAGTTTTTAACAATACAAGTTCACATTTCAAAGTTCTAGTCTATATAACTTGGAATGGCCACAAATACCATTTACATATTTTTTGAACATGTCTTTAAAAGTTGAATCTGGGTCAAATAGTCTGCAAGGTTCTTAACTCTTTCTGTCCAGGTGTCACACAAGTTTAGATCGTGTGTGAATTCTCCAATGTTTAATGAGGTCTGATCACTGTCTGAAACATTTGTTACAGTCCAGTAGTTATGGAGTCTTGTATTTGTGTGGATTCTCTGATGAAAAACAAGGACTGATCAGTTTCTGAAATGTTTCCCACAGTCTAAGCACTTATGGGGTCTCTTTCCAGTGTGGATTGCTGGATGTTTAACAATGTTTGACCTCCATATAAAACTCTTTCCACAGGCTAAGCAGTTACGGGGTGTCTCCCTGGGTGGATTCTCTGATATAAATCACGGGCTGACATCTATTTGAAATGTTTTTCCATAGTTTAAGCACTATGTTTGTTTTGCCTGATGTTTAGATGTTTAGAAAAGCTGATCTGATTCTGAAAACTTTCCCAGAGTCCAAGCACTTATGGTCTTCCCCTTGTATGGATTGCCTGATGTTTTACAAGGTCAGACCTGTGTATGAAACTTTTTCCACAGTCGAAGCATTTATGGGATCTCTCTCCTGTGTGGACTGCTTGATGTTTCACAAGGGCTGACTTCCATATAAATTTTTTTCCACAGTCTAAGCACTTATGGGATCTCTCACCTGTGTGGATCTTCTGATGTGTTATAAGATTTGACCTCTGTATGAAACTTTTTCCACAGTCTAAGCACTTATGGGATCTCTCACCTGTGTGGATCTTCTGATGTGTTATA